TTGCCATTTAAAATGCTGAGGATTAGAGATGTCCTACTCTTCTGCCTAAGGAACCCTGGTGGTGCTGTCGGGAAGCTCTGAACTGCTAACTTCAAGGTCAGGGGTTCCAAGGTCAGCTGCTCCATAGAGAAGGATGAGGCTGTCTGCTCTTACAAAGATTTACAACCTCAAGAAACTCTATACAGGGTCCCTATGAGTCGAAATGGACTTGCTGGCAGTGTGTACCCCTCTTGCCTAGAGCAGAAAGCCCCTTTATGATACACCCTATCGTTTTTACTGTAACTCCTTAATGGAGAAGACAGTGCATCACTCTGTAGTCTGTTCCCCTGCAGGACAGCTCTCGGCACCAAAAAGTCCTTCCTTATCTTGTGCTGAAATCCTTGTATCCTTCTCATCCGAGCACTTAGGTCTTCTCATATTCAAGGAGTGTGGTTGTCATCCTGGTATCTTCTCCTGTTTCAGTCTAAACCCCCTTCCTTCACCAACCTTCTTAATGATATAGTTGCAATCCAGACCACTCTTCTCTGAATGAATCTATCAATATCTGTCTGCAAAGAACCAGGAAAACAAACCAGGCACAGTCAGACTAGTGCAGACTACAGTGAGGATTTCGTTCTTTTTTAAATACATGTTCCCATAATTCCACTAGTTACTTCAGAGCGCTCAGAAATTGTGACTCTTATTTGGCGGGTGAATAAAACCACCAAGTTACTTATCTCACAAAAACCTTTCATATTATGTTCCCGATGGCAATCCTATGCTTAAGAAATGACTCTTTACTCATGTAAATGTGCAGTGTCACCTTTCTTTTAAGAAATATATATCATCTTATTGGCTTCCACCCGTGTTCTATTTGAAATAATACCGAACCTTGATTTGACATCCAAAGTATTCTCTGTTCCCTCTCACATGGATGTCCACCATGAATATCACAAATGCGGTTACAAAACAAAAATGTTAGACCTTCTTTTCTTTGGTGAAAACAACCCAAGTGTCCATTAACAGATGAATAGAGAAACAAAATGTGGGGCATGCATACAATGCCCTAGAGAAAAAAACATGTCTGATACGTGTTATGACATGGATAAACCTGGAAAGCATTACGCTAATCAAATAAGTCAGGTACAAAAGGATAAATATTATACAACCACAGAATAGGCAAATTCACGATCCCTCTGGGAGCAGCGTGGGTGTTAGCTGTCCCCGGAGCTGTCTGGAAGAAGAGTCCTGGGATACTGGTTTCAATCTGACTGACTGAGGAAAGGTGCTGCTTTGTGTAGGTTTTAGAAAGTAGAGGGAGGTAACATACCCAAGTAATTGTGGAACTAGTAATGGATAATTTGGAAAAATTATGGAAATCTTTTCTTGAATACTAAAATTGTTATTTTCAGTATGGACCAAACTGGTTTTGAAACATCAAGTTTATTTAAACCCTTAACTTTCTATAATTAACATCCCCCCCCCTTTTTTTTTATCCCCCTTTTTGACAACCATATTTCAATAGTGAAAGTGTATTATCCATGATTCCTTCGCTGGGTCATAAAACGAAGATGGCTAAATGAGAGGGTAGAAGAAATGTAGGCATACCAGTAGCCCTCCTGTATTATGGAAAATAATGAGCATTTTTATGAAATATTATTCTACAAGTAGATAACCAAGAAATCAATTTAAAACATCTTATTACTTAGATGAGAATGAAATATACATTCAAAGCAACTGTCAACACAACTGGGTACTCCCTAAATTACAGGAAAAATTGAAGAAGGTGATAAATATTTGGAGGATTATGATACAAATGATTTTGTTGTATAAAAATTGGAGATACATTCCTACAATAAAAAGAAAAAAAAACAATAGGCAAATTCATAGAAACAAACGTAGATGAATGGTGACCAGGGGCTGGGGACAGAGGAACTTAAGGAAGGTACTGCTCAGTGGGTAGTTTCTGTTTGGGGTGATGAAAACATTTGAAAGTGGATCATGGCGATGTTTGCACAATACGATGAATGTACAGCGTGTAATGAGCTGTCCACTTAAAAATGGTTACAATGGTAAATTTTGTTATATACATCTTATCACAATAATTAAAAACACATATACCTTGTACTTGTTCATCCAGCTTGTTGATAACAGTAGTATTCAAGGAGAGACCAAAAGCATAAGCATGCCCGCTAAGACCTCCTTCTAGTTACTACCAATACCGTCTACTGCATTTGGCACAGACATTTAACTTGCTATCATAGATTTACTCACGCTTTTCACCACCCCCGAATGCTTATTGGTGTCTGATAGGCATTACATGAAGCAGCCTGAATGCTTAACTCTTCCAACTAGTACTAAGAGGCTTCTGCAATCTCATTGCACTCTATCCATCTAAATTCATTCTCCATTAACCTCCAACACTTTAATCCACTCCAATTCAGTCAGACTGGGGATCTGATACCATCATGCTATGCTATGCCAGGCACCCTTCCTCAGCACAAAATATCCTTTCCCCTCATTATCCATCCTGGACCCAACCTTTGGGTCCAGCTTAAGACTGAAGTCCACAATCAGTGTTGCCAACAAATCTGTTTTTACCATATATTAACTTTTTCTCAAGCTGGACAACGAGTCTTTAAAATTGGTCCCTTTCATTTCTTAGGTGAATATCTTATCATTCCACTAAGACTTCAAGTCCAATTTCCCCAGCTGGAGCACAGGGTAGGAATGCAACCTGACCCAAACCTTTCTTACCCACCTCCTCTCATCTTTGACCCCTTCTCCCTCTGCACATACTCTCACCTTTCTTCCCGCGCTCGAGGGCTCAGGAGCCTGCTGGGGTCATCATCATGGCTGCTCTGCTGGCTGCTCTGCTGGCTGCTGAGGAAAGACACAGGATAGAATCTGTTAACATCCAGCTCCTTTCTCAACCCTGGGGGAGGTTATGGAGACATCAAACGGACAGAGACATGGCATTGCAACACCTTAAAGCTACAGACTCCCCCAAGTAAGCTTAGCATAAAGCAGGGTGCTCACACTTTTTCAGCATGCGAATTACTTATAACATGATCAAGTCAAAAAGATCTACCAACTACAAACATCCAAAACATATATATTTATTTATTACATATCCATAAATGCATTGAGAATTCTTTATATGTACAATGTATGTTTATGTACCTTGCATAACCACATGAATCCATATTGCCCAACACAACACAATTAACTATGTACATTTTTTGTCATGACCAGTGCTGATGACTTGCACTGAATGGCATGAGCCAGGGATCCATAGTCCAGACAGTAGCTGCTGACAGCCAGCCTCAAGCACACTTCCAAATGATCATCAGTCATGGTGGAACGGTACTTGGACTTAATCATCTTTATGTGGGAAA